CCCACGCCCGCCCCCGCCACTTCGCTGGAGCGCGGGGCGCACAGCGATCAGTTGGCCACAAGCCACCGCCGGGGCAGGACAGGGGGCCGCGCGCGGCGCTCGGCGCGAGAGAGCGAAGTGCAGTTCGTACCCGGAGCCCCAGCGAGAGCCCTACCCCAACGGGGCCCTGCCCCAACTGCTCCCTGCGCGCGCGCCAAATTAAGAGAATACGGGTTGATAACTTTCTCCTCGCGGACTTTGATTACTTTGAGTGCTTCGTACGGACTTCTCTTCTTCTTCTTCTTCTTCTCTTTTTTTCTGCTTCTTCTTCTTTTTTATTATTTTTCCATTCTTGCTCTCTCTCTCTGTCACTCTCTCTATCTCCCTCCCTTCTACCTTTCCCATCTCCCTCACTCTCTTCGAGATGCGGTGCTGCGCCCTGCCGTGCCCCCGGCGCCACTGCGCCATCCAGCGGGCCAGCCACCATGGATACTGTCGTCGACCAGACTGGATATTGCGACAGGTATCTTCTTCAACCGTGGCACATTACCGTTGCTTTTATTGTTAAAAACCATACTTTCTCGCATTAGTTATGCTCAGAAACTGCTCTATAGAAGGGTTAGAAATTTCTTCTTAAACCTGTTGAATATGTTCTTTTCCTTATTCTAAAGTAAAGCGAAGAGAAATGTGGTGGCTGTGTTTGGAAATAATAGTTTTTTCAAAAAGAACTGTCCTTCTTTTGTGTTGCCTGTGCGAGAGTTTAGTAGGTTTTTTAGCAGTCTTTTTCAAGAAAGGCAATTATTTTGTTTAGAATACAGTTTTCGTGTCACTCTCTTATTTCTTGTAGGGATCGCATTCCTCAAAGTCCAAGTTGAAGGGTAGTAGCTTCGCGAGAAGCTTGCGTCCCCCGGAAAAATGCGTTTTCGATTCTACTTTAGAGTAAAAATGGGGCATTATGCAGCAGGTATGGAAAATTAAGACTTTCAATCCTTTTCGTTCTTTGCTACTTACTCCCGAGCTTGAGTCCCTTAAAACAGCGCCGAGCTCCTGTAATTCGTCGCCGAAAGAATCGGAGAAAATCTGCGCTTGACTTTGAATCCCATGAGAACTTTCTTTGAATAACAACTCCTTAATGAACGTTTCTTGCAAAAGAACTTTTCAATTTAAACAAAAAAGCAAAAACATAACACGTTTTGTATTGTTCCTAGCCGAAAAAGGCCGTGAAAGAAGTAAAAACTCAAAGAAAGTTCTAATGGGATTTAAACTCAATCACATCTTTTTGCATACACTCCAACTGTAACTATCTACGTTACTAAGAGATATTAGTCAATGAGGAAAACCCGACAAGGAACAAAAACCTTAACTTCCCATCCCTGTTATGCAGACGATCTCTAAACGGAGCACGACGCTCCTGAGAGGTTTCACGATTATGGTGCGGTTTACTTTTGGCGGTGTAGCGTTATAGGCTAGTGCGGCCTCATTTGATCAGACGCTAACCCGACTTATTGGAGATCACTTTGGCTTGACGCGGCGCCTCACTTATTCACAACAGCCGTCAGGCTGACGACATCGCGTAGCCTCGGAGTAGCCCTGCACGCACAAGTTGGAGGTGAGAGGCAGGCGGGACCGAGCGTGATCGCTATAGGTAACGAGTTGGGCTGTCTTCACGGGCGGGGGCTAGGCCGCACACTCGACGATAGTGCTGTAAATGTATGGCTGCGTGGGTTCTTAGTTAAAACTCCTCCTCTTCTTTCTATTTAACACTTCTTCGCGTGCATAGGGACGTGGAGACGGTAAAATGTCGTACCGTCCGTGTGGTATCCCACTCGAAAGGCGTTAAGAAATATTAAATCTGTCTGTCGTCTCGGCGTGTGACCATGACCAATAAAGCACAGCAAAAAACACTTACTCGTTACTCACGTAACAGGCGACTCTTTGTAATAATAGTAAAATGCTGAATTGTTTCCGCCGGTTTGGCCCAAAGAGCGCTATCTTGACGAGTTACGCCTTAGAACACTGATTTACATTTCTAAAAAAAAACAAAATCTCTTTTAAAAAACCTTATTTCTACCCTATACAGGCGAGAACTAATTGTGAGGTTTAGGAAAAATTTCAAGTGCCATCCGACTTCTACTATAAGAACTTTTAAATTTTCCAAGTTTCAACGAAATCGGAGACTTACACCAGAAAAGGTTCACTTGTTAGTGCACCTTAAAGGTAGGAGTAAGCACCTTTCTTTTTGTGTTTCCAATGGTGATCAATAAATTTTTAGTTTAGTGCCTCTATAAATTCAGTAACTCACCTCCACAGACCTACATTTCATTTGGTGTTTTTTGTAAATGCAAATTTCGGAAAATTTTCTGTTATGCCGAAAATACAAAAAA